TATGAATATTTCCACTGTGATGGCAAAATGAAGGATGGCCTTTGAAAGCCTGTGAGCCTCAGTAGTAATGGCTCTCTGTTATTTATTCCAGGTGGCTAAAGCATGGAAAACGCCTCTAGGTATCTGGATATCCCAGTTTGCTTGCTCCTGAAGCCATCACTATTCCAAGAGTGCTGATGAGGAATGGTTTGTTTAATGAAAGTGACTACTTTTCTTTTTGTTATAGTTGATGATGAGTTTCTCCACTTCACAATACTGGGCAGGAGTATGAAGATTTTGTCTCAGTCCATTTCTGTTAGAGAGAGGGCTGCTGCATCATCAGCATGGAAAAGCAGTGATACAGATCTGTTGTTCAAAATAGGGGGTATAATTCAGATTTTGTCAATTCTTGTACAAATTAATTGATATAAACATTAAAAAGGAATGGTACCAATAAAGCAACATTGTTTCACCTCTTTAAGGACCTGAATTACAGGTGAAAGGTGACTTATGCTGTTTCAGTGAACCTGCATAGTTTTATGGAGTTTCATGGTCAGCAGCCAATTTATTCCCCAAGGACTGAGTAACATGTCACCAATAAATCAATAAAGGGGACATAAAGGGTACTATATGGATGGCTAGATTATCCTTCTATTAAACAATGTAAAGTCAAGGGCTGATTGTCTCTTTCTGAAACGCTTTCTCTTCCACCAGAGTCTTATCCTGCACCATCATTCAAACGTTTTTCTAAGGAGATTCCTAGCACTGAAAGATAGTTTAGAGGTTTTCCAGGATCTTCCTATCTCCCTTTCTGTACATTGGGATTATAGTATATCTACTCCAGTCTTCAGGGATCTGACAGGAAGAATGATGCCAAAACTGGGACCCATTAATCCCTGTTCACCTTAGCCAATCAATCTGCTCTCACTGCTTTACCGTTTTTGACTTGTGTGATTAATTTAGTGATCTTGGATGGGAACACTTGATCTGACATTGGAACAAAAAATCAATAGGGTAAGAGCCACAGGCTCATTGCTACATATGGCATGAAAATATTTAGTTCATATCTCAGAGACTACTGAGGGGTGGAGTTTACCAGAGGCCTTGAAAAGAGGGAGCAACAAAGTGCCAAAATAAAATAGAATTCTTTCTGCTTGCTATCAGAAACATATAAACTTGCTATAAACAAATTTCTGCCAGTTGTGCCCCTGTATTCTGGAGCTTCCCACTTTTTGGTCAAACCTGACTCTTTTCTTTTCAAGAACATGATGAGTTGGAACCTCTATAAGCCCTAAAACTTTCAAACTAATTGATTCTGGTAATCACATATTCATGTTCAAACCATTGCTTGAAGAACTGCTTGACACTCTGAATCATAGGTGGAATTTGGGTTTGAAAGATCTCCTGAATGTTATTTGTTAGCAGGCTAAAATTACAGAGTATCTGAAGCACAGTGTATGGCACCGATGGAAAGCTGATGAGCAGTGGCCAAATTCAAGAAATGCAGACTAGTACTTTCAATCTTCTTAGACCACTCAACCCTTAAAATCCTATCCAGAAGAAGTGTTGGCTGAAGAATTTAGGTCCTGCCTATGAGGGAAGCAATTGTCTAATTTCAAAGTGAGTGAAAGGTAGTTACTGTTGGGTTGTATAATAATTTGAAAACAGATATGCATTAGGCTGGATGATGACAGATAGAAGTCAGTTATTTGGGCACCTCACACATGCTGGTACAGGTAATCCTCACTTAACGACTGTTCATTTAATAATGGTTCCAAGTTACAACTGTCAGGTTCGGTCAGCACGGGGCTTCAGGGAAGCACGGGGCTTCAGGGAAGCA